CCCCCCCAGTATAACAATCCCCCCCAGTCTCAATACCCTGATATCCAGCCTCGCGAAACGCAACCGCTCCAGTCCAATTCGCTTCAAGACTCAAAGCTTCTCCTCCTAACCAATTACACCGAGAATCTCGATCTCCATACATCATAGCGACTTTCACGCCCTTGTCGAGTAAAAAAACTCGAGACTTTTCATCCCTGAGGTACGAATCGCATCGCCGGCTGACGAAATTGAAATTTTGGGAGACGAGGGGCGAGGAAGAGGTGAAATTCACGGGCACGCCGAGGGATTGTTGTACCCATTCTTGATTKAAAAAAATCCTATGAGATTTCGAGGTGGGAAAGGTTCGGGATTGAAATGTGCGATATCATAGACGCTTCGATTGCTTGCGGTATTGAAGGGTCCGTCGATGACGGATATAGCGCAGGTAATGAGGGCGGTTATGCAGGCTGTGTTGACTTGTGAGTTGAGACTGAGGGTTTCTGGGTCGTGTAGATCTCCTAGTTGTCTGCATTGGAGGATTTGGTCGCGGCAGCCGTTGTTTTTGAAGTAGGAATCTTTGGCTTCGTTGAATGCTTCCTTGGAGATGATTTGGAGGTTGTATGTGTTGTTGTATGCCATGTCCGCGTACCATTCGGCTTGATACAACATATCTGCACAGCCATTCGACCAGCCGATGGTGTCGATGTCGAGGAGGATGTAACCTTTTGGAAGCTCGCCATCTCTTATTTTTTTATATTTTGCCGTTCAAAGTACTCGGCAGTAGAAGGTACAAAGAACCCTCGGTATGAATTCCCCCAAAGGGAGACTCGTTTGTCTTGGGTTTGATATTCAGGAAAGCTCCCGAACCACGCCTGGGAAAAGTGCCAACAGATCCGAGCCGCGATGGCTGAGTTCGGCGCAGTTCTATCAGATCTTTGGCTTGGGAAGGTACCGTAGAGGAAAGTCTGGTTCTCAGCTGGAATATGGCCATTGTGTTCTTCGAAAGACATGATATCAGGACCCCCAAGAAGATTCAGAAGTACTGTTGACAAGAGCATCGTAGGAATAGCCAGCACCGGTAGGTTGATCGACGTAGAGCATATTCACATACTCATTCCAAGAGTACGGATTGGCTCGAGTGCTATTCGAGTCTGGAAGTATGGTCCATGGTCCTCCGCCCTGGACCGCTCCATACATGGAAGATTGCCCTGGGCCACCGGCGAGGTATATTGCTGTCTGCGCATTGTCGGGTTGTTGATGAGCTGGAAAGTACCAAAAGAACATGGAAATATTGTAAGGCTCGCCTGGTAGGACATTGGACAGGGAGGATGCGGGAAGATGGACGTAGCCAGAGAAGCCGCGGGTCTTCGTCTCACAGATGAAGGTCTCCTTGTAGGTGATTGAAATTCCATTTCCGCCGGGTACCTGTATGGTGGTCGTGTTTTGAGGGGTTGGCGGATATTCCTGCAAGGATGCATGCTGCTAGAAGGGGGATAAGGAGACAGGAAGATAGGTAGCCCATCTTGCGAACAATGAAACGCCTGCAGGTGATGAGAGAATTAAACGAAATAGAACGCTTGCCGTTCAGCGAGATGTTGTAGCGCCCGCGAGCAGGAATGCTCTATTACCATTTTGTATTTCTATTGAGGTACTCTTTTGGACGAAGCCTCCTTTTGCAAATTTGAAGGCGTCTGCATCCTTGATTTTGCCTAAGATAGTGTCTACAAGGTCGCCGAGCGGCTGAGACCTGTAATATTACAGCTCTTATTTTGTTTCCATTATATCTGATGGCGATGGTCCCCGTGTCCTCGCTCCTGGTTCATTGAGATGTCAGACAGCGGTGGAATTCCCATGTGGCTGTTTCATTAACCCCTTACCTGAAGGGACGAGGCAACGCACTTGACCTTAAAGTCCGACTTGGCATTATCAGAAGACATGAGATATCGATCTGTTTTCCAAGAAATGAATGCTGTATAACATTCGAAATCTACTAAAAGATAGCGACGATATTCGGAGGACTAGCCACGCCTCCAGGGACATTATTCGGTTTCGAGACGACAAAAAAGCTATATCTGTTCAGCTGCTTGCAAGTCGCGGCCAATTTCTCGAGATCAAAGAGTTCTCCTATTGGCATGCCCCAGCCGGCCAACATGACCTCGTGTAATGCATAGTCTTTCTGCGTTGGCCAGGCTTCCCTAGATTTTTGAAATATCGGAGTCAGTTACATCTAATACTGTCTCCGTTAAAGACAAAAGACTCACCAGCTTGGATGATCTCCAGCACAAGCCGAAAAATTATCGAAGAGAAACTCCATCATAGCCTCACTCTGCTCCACTCCAGTAAAAGTCAAAGGTTGCTTCGCTCGGTGCATCTCAATCTCCTCTCTGGACAGTTTCCCATGTGCATCCAAATACCCACTCCTCAGGATCAGAATATCCCCAAATTTTATCTCCGTCCCTTGGTCCTTTGCAACTTCCCGAAGCGTCTCGGCACTAATAGACCCCGTCTCAAAAGCCTTATGTTCCCTACCATTCCTAACCCGCCAAGCGTGATAATCAAGTAAAATCCCTCTCCCAACAATCCCCTTCTCAGCCCAAGCCCCAATCCCATTCACATTCGTTTTTGACACGCCATTCGTCCCATGAATTTCATCCAGCGTTACACCATTATAAAACACTTTTTCCTTTTGATACCCGAAATGTCGCAGCCCGTCCCACTGACTACTTGATTGCGTGTTGAAAGTCCAGACGTCGTCGTTTACGATTCGGGGGGGTTTTTGGTAAATGTGTTTTGTGAAGGATTGGCGGCCGAAGAAGGGGATGTCGGTTTGGGCATCGAGGGGCCAGTCGAGGTTTATGCGGATTCCTGTGCGGATTTCTGATGATGCGGCTGATTTGACGACTTCGTCGGTTAGGCGGTTTAGAGTGCCTAATTGGTCATCTTTGCCGTATCTTATTAAAAAATGTCAGTTGGAGGCTGGCTGTTTTTTTTTTTACTTGGTTGTGGTTGTGGTTGTGGTTGAGCTTACAGGCCCCAGGCGTTGTGGTGAGGACCGTTCTTGTCCAGTGGCAGATCGGAGAATTTGGGGGTCTTGATGGACATTATCGACACTTTTGTAGAATGGTAGGAGAAGGTTACCTAACTATAAGCAACGGCGGGTTGGATACTACATTATGACGAGGTCAATCAACCCCTCCTTGACGTGTAGCGAAGTCGCATGTCGTGATGGAAGTGGAGACGGACGCTCTTGACCCGAGATCGGGAGGAAAGGAAAGGTGCAGTCTTGGCAAAGAGTCTTCTCTTCGTTCTCCGCAAAGTACATCACACATGTCATACACACTCACATAGGATGTGATACAAGCCGCCTTCAAACTACCACGCAGACAAAGATGGTGGCCGCTGACCAACATCCCATTCCGCGGGATCTGGACCCATTTCAAATACCAAGCTTCCACCACTACTCAGCTCCTCATGACTGAGCCAGCTTCGATCCAGCTGCTTTCCATTAAAGCTCACAGATTGAGGATAGTAGCTTGTCTCCGAGAGCCCTGGTGCCGATATATACAAAGACTTCTCAACCGCAGTGCCCGAGAACAATTTGATGCGCAGGGATGAGAAACGCGGCGCTCCAAGCAGATAGATCGGTTGCGATGCTACCGGGTATAGACCGATGAGGTTGAAAACCAGCCAGCTGGGAAGAGCACCGCCGTCGATGTTTCCTGGATAGCCGTTACGTGCATCAGAGTAGAATGTATCTACGGTCGCTCGCGTTTGATTGGCCGTCTTCCAGTGGTGCTTTGGGATGTAGTTGTACAGAAAAGGTGTGGTAAAGGATGGCTCATTACCTGCGAAGCATCAGATCAGCATCTCAAGACTAAAACCATCGAATAATGGGACTTACCGGGATTGAACAAGGCACTGCCGGCATCATTGTTCGCGCCGACACTCGTACCATAACCTGGCAAGAAACTAACGTCGAGTCTCTGAATAAACTTCTCATCTCCACCCATCAGTTCAATGACCTTGGCCATGTCATGTGGAGCAACACCAAACGCCGTCTCCCAGACTTTCGCCTCGTAGATATCATCGGCCCAGCCACACCCGCCGCAGCTCAGAGGATCATAAGCAGTGAAATTCCATTGCCCATCACTATTTCTCGCGGCCGGAAAACCCGAGAATGTCGTGTTGGATGTGTTTGAGATCGAGGGGACGAAGAGGGAAGTATTAGCTTCTGCACTCCATTGATTCTGCCACCAGCTAGACCGTTGCAGGAATCTCTCCACATCAACCGCAGAGGCGTGGGGGAGGGACTTCGCCATGCTGTAAATCGCATGATCATTCTGCGAGTACTCCACCCCGCGAGAAATACTCCGAGTGTGGTTACGAGTGATGTAGCCTAGACGGAGATAATCATCCAGAGCACCTCGACCTTCTTTCGTGGCTCCGTCAAAGGCTGCGGTATCCACATTTCGACTCGGGAGATCATCTGCGTCTTKGAGCAAAGCATTGTAAGCCTCCTGCCAATCAATATCGGCGTGTAATTCGCCGCCGCCGTCTTTTACGTAGGCATCTACAAGCACCATATCTGCGTGGCTGCCGCCTTGTACTCGACCGTTCCAATTGGCGATGCGGCCCGCGGGGAGGTATCCGTCGTGTGTGAAGATGGAGATGAGGCCTTTGATCACCCGCGAATATGTCTCCGTGTAGAGTAGGTGGTAGAGCGGTAGGAGAGACCTGTAAGTATCCCAGATAGTGTAGTGATCGTCGTAGTACGGGTGTTTCTCATCGGTCGTCCAGTATGGATTCTCATTTGTTTTGTCAGTTGGCATTAAACCAGTCTGATATAGTGCAGTGTACAACATTCTCTTCAAAGTAGTGTTCTGGCTGGTGTCGGATCCATCGTCTAGCACCTCAATCTTGCTCAAAATCTCATCTTCCCATTCTTTGCGGGCCTGTTCAACCACGTCGTCAAAAGTCAGAGATAATGGTAGCTCATTTTCCACGCTCTGACATGCTTGAATGGCACTGATGTAAGAAATACCGACTCGAGACTCAACAATTCTTTCGGCTGTTGCGTTGTTTCCAGAAGGCGTCCAGCTGAAGAGTGCTCCAATTCCCATTCCGCTTCCTGCGTAGGCCTGGACGGTTGGGAAAGACCTTGGCACAGGACGAGCAGTGAAAGCAGGAGGAAGCACAGGGTCATACGGCCAGCTGAAGGTTCCGGCTCCTACCACACCATTGTCGGTGTTCTGCGTCACGTACGAAGATGTTGGCGCGAGGTTGGAAGAGACCGGGACGGAGAAGTTGCCACAAAAGTACAGTGTGTGAGATTCGGGCTGGCTCCATCCACCTTTGTATGTCGCCGACCCGTGGTATGAAGGCTGTCCGTTTGGAGAACTATCAATGTGGAGAGTGCCGTGTAAGAACTTCTGGGAGTATGCTTGGTTGCCGTAGCCCGGGAGAGCATGCGTGAGGTCTACCAGAACATGGAGATCTTCAGACGATGGGACTTCGGCAGCGTAATCATTCCCCGAATCCGAGAAACTGGCATTGTCGGATCTTGAAGTAGGGCTGGTTCGATATCTCATGAGACCAGAATGTTTGGAACCTGTTATCTCAATTCCAACGCCATTCAAGAGGGTCGTAGTGAACAATCCAACACTCGCCTTCTCCAACTGCATTGATCTGTTCTGCCAGTAAGTAGTGTTGTCTCCCAGATTAACAAGACTCAAGTCGCCCAGAATCGGCATCTGGGATATCAGACCATAGGTGGGAACGCCACCGGATCCAGAGACATGTGTCATTGAGACAGCAGTAACATTCCCGAGGGGTGAATAGCCTGCATTGCAGTCCACAGCGCTCCCGTTTGGTAATCCGAGGTAAGATGTATCGATCCCGGGTTTGGCCATACTCCACGGAAGACTCGCACCTGGGAAAGAGTTCCCGCCTGCAATGGCGGATCCTGGAATTGATCCCACAGTACCAATGAGAGGGTCGACATAGTTCGACAGTCGTTCGGCAAAAGCAACATGGTGGATTGATGATGTTATGAGAGTGAAGGAGACGAGACTCGCCATTCGTGACGCCATGGTTCGATGTAAAAAAAAACACAATCACTTACAGTTGATACTCGGCGATGTATAAGACCAGACGTCGGCTACGGAGATTGCAGTGGGATCATGCGGTCAGGTGAAAGATTGCAAGCGGCAGTAGTAAAGCAGCCTGAATACGGAAAATGTCCGGAGGTCTCAGAGCTGGGGCAAGGCGAGGTGGAGGAAGACGAACTTACGAGGATGATCCTAGGGTTATTGCCGGTCAGCCGGCTTCTACAGACCCAAGTCCTAATCAATTTGAATCAAGTCCAATCAAGTTCAATCAATATATTGGAAGGGTCCTGCGGAAAATCTCTCACGTTCACGGTACATCTTTTTCCCCCAACATCGGCCCATCAAAGTGTCGAAATCACCGCGAATCATGGCAGATCAGCAAGAGGCATCGTCATCACGAGTAGTCGAGAGTAGTAGCACGCTCGGTACAAATCCCTCCCTTGGAACAACTACAATCCTCCACTAACACAATTCATAAGCATCATCACATGAAGGAGAATCCCCAGCAGCAGAACCTCAGAAAAAATGCGCCAGCTGCGGCAAAGTGGAGACAGTCACAGATCCAGAAGAACAACCCGTATTGAAGCACTGCGCCAAATGTCACACCACACTATATTGCTCCCGAGATTGCACCAAATCGGATTTCAAACAGCATAAGAAAGTCTGCGCCAAGCAGGCACAAGCTTATGCTGAAAGTGCGGATTTCAAACCCAGTGCTCCTAGGAGGGCGCCGCCGAAGGAGAACTTTAGAGGTGGTTTGCAGAAGTGGCAGTTTGACACGTGAAAGAGGGATCTTTGGATATGAGGTCGCGAGGTCTTGGTCTGCTGAGGGGAGAGTAAGCGGGAACTCGCCAGAATGCGCTGCGAGTGAGATGGTAGCAAGCGTGTGCAACGGCGGGGAGGATTACTGCACATCATCAGATCCCGGCCTATCACACTGGAGACGTGTGGGATCTGGATTACGGAAAGTTTGGGGTGTCATACCATCAACAACGAGGCCTCTATCCGTTTACGATGCTGCGCTACAGCCTCTCCTTATCTGTCGATTGCTTCGCTGTAATCCGAGGAACATCTACCCGTTTCTCCGCTCCGGTTATTCCATCACTAGTATTCTCAGCCGCCATCATTTCCAAGCTCTTCCCAGCATTCGTGGCAGTGACAGCCACTTGATCATCCTCACCGTGATGATGATGCTCGTGAAGATCCCGGTGGTTGGGAGCCAGACCATCCTCAACTGTGCCCTCTCCCGTCTCTTTCCCCCTCAGATGACTTCTTGCCTCTTCGGTCTTGCCATCCGCAGAGTTTTTGCTCTTCTTCAAAATACTCCACCCGCCATGCCACCCCACCCAGCCATCCTCCCACGGACCGCGCATCAGGACAAAAATCAGTGCAACACCTATACTCCCAACACTGTAGCTCCCACTTGCAATCCATCCGGATTCTTCGTACAGACGTGACCCAACGGAAGTTCCAGTCAATTGTCCAAAAAACGTAGCGACCATGAAGCCTGTATTGATTCTATTGCGTCCCCTATCGTAGCGATGATGATTAGCAAAGAGCTCCAGTCTTCACAGCTCATCTAATACAACACTCACTTCGGCTCAACGGCAAAAATAGAAGATCTCATAGCCACCGTACTTGAAATCATCCCAAGATCCGCAAAGAAAGCCTGCAGAATCGGACCAGCGACAGTGAAAGTTCCAGTATACGTTCCAATAGTAATTCCCACAAGACACCAAAGAATTCCCAACACGACACTAAAAAGCGGAACAAACCGATCAATCACAAGTCTTGCGTAAACCGGACTGCATAACATTCCCGAAATTCCAACCAAAGCGAAGAGCCCAATCACCAGAGGATTATAATTGTATGGCGCTCCAGAGAGGAGAAAAGTGAGCGTCGTCCAGAAATTGGTAAAAGTAGCGGAAATGAAGAAACTTATCAAACTCGCCTGGACCAGCACGGGATGTTTCGTGAACATGACGAGGATCGACCAGAGCATTTTGAAGTAGTTCAGTCCACTGGGGTTGGTGGAGGGATAATCAGKCATGAATAGCCATAGGAGGATGAAAATCAGGTATTGCAGACCCACGGAAAGCCAGTAGATGGTTCGCCAGGAAGTGTATTGCGTTACAATCCCAGACAATAGCCTTGCGATGAGGATACCCATTGAAAGACCACTCCCGACAATCGATAATGCGGTTGCTCGACGTTCCGGAGGCGCGAGATCGCCTACTAGCGGCATCATGAGTTGGGGTGTGACGGTTGTTACTGCGATGATGAATTGAATGGCACTGAAGACTGCCAATGAGCTCGTTACACAGAGTCCGATACTTTTGACAAGTCAGTCAGCGTCTCAAAGATAAAGATTGGGTAGGAAATACTTTACCACATGGTCGCTGTGAAGAGGACTAGACTCAACACAAATGGTCTTCTCTTGAATAAATCGCCCAGTGGGCAGAGGAAGAGCAATCCAACGGCATAGCCAGCTTGGGCGAGCGTAGGGATGATGCTCACATGAGCGTAATCCACTCCAAACTCTTCGGCAAGAATGTTGAGGATAGGGTGGCTGTAATATAGATTTGCAACTGTAATTCCTCCAGCGAATGAGAAAATTAAGTTCAGTGCCGTCGAGAATTTGGGAGGTTTCTCCGCATCCCATCGACAATTTGGAGGTGTCCATGTTATGATAGTGTATGCCCGTTTCCAAATTGACGGTCTCCCAGTATCTTGAGAAGGACTTGGTTGCTCAGACTCATTGCTTGTTAAGCTTAAAGTGGTTGTTTGCTGTTTCTCAGTGGCTCCGAGATCGGCATCCGCCGATAAGTTCTTGTCGATGTCGTTTCCCATTGTCGAGATCGAGATCTGCACGCTGGGGATAGAAAAATGAACTATAAATCGTGATCGATATACATACCGCTCCAACCAAGTAATGTGTTAGATGTTGAGGGATTGTAATTAATGTGCGGTGTGTAGATCATGGTAGCAAGGCCGATATCTACCCCGAGATACGGTAGTACATTAGTAGAACTATTGCCGTGGAGTACGGTGGACTTTTAGCGACTTCCCTGCAACAACGCGATCTAATATAGCTTAACGCCACTAAGTGGAGTAATTTCACACCTYGCTTATTGATTTAATTGCCCGTACAATTATATATAATAAACGTCGTTATTTGCTTATATGTGTGTAATATTACCGTCCCGTTATTACTTAGTTACCGGTCCTAATATATAACGGGTTTCGGTTACTTATATCTTACTTTAATGCTGCTATTATGCATATGCTTCTACTAGTAACTTATTGTACGCGTAAGAGTAATATTTATATACTATAAGACTCTTCTCTCTACCCTTCTACCGTCTCCCCTAGTCCTCCTAATAACTACTACATTTAATACTCTAATTAGTACTCTTACTACCTATCCTTCCCTCTTTGCTCTATTCTACCTCTCCGTATAATAACCGAGAAGGAAGTTCGCCGCTTCGGTATAGGCGACGTCGACCTATAGGATATATACTACTCGTYRGACGATAATAGTAATCTATACCTTRTAGTTAACGACGATAATATAAGTAAAGATAATCGCCTTGCCTAGACGAGACTAACTAGTATAATCTAGCTTAAGACTAGTAGCCTCTATATTACTAAGGAATAGGCGGAGATAATCGATRCGGMGAGTAGCTACGCCCCGAAAATTAAGAAGACCTAGGACCCGGCGAAGTAGATAATRCTTAGAGACCGTAAGAATACTATAGACTCGATAATTATCTAGAGCCGGTTAGTACAATTACTTCTAATTAAGATCCGAGCATCCTTACTAATAGATTCGTAGCGGTAATATTATTAACTAG